TAAACCAGTTTTATTTAAGTAAAGACTTGTGCCGCTAAAGTTTCGCCGGAACGAATTTACGGAAAATTAACTAACGAACGGAGACGTAACAATACCTTCTTCACAGGCCGAACTCAACCCGCGGGCTTCCAGTTGGCCATTTAAGGTGATAATGGGAATAGGCAGTATTGATATCTCGTCTTTCTTTGTGCTTAATGGTAAGAGTGGTAGGATTAGAACACATAAAGTTAAGATTTGGCAAACTAGAATTTCTGTGCAAAATAGACAATTTTACTCTTTTTATAGATTGTTTAGGCAGAGTATTTATGATGAATTTTACTTGAATGGACGGTAACTGCCTGTTGTAGAAACACAAGTGTAGAGGACGACGTTTCGAAGTACTTCCGTCTTCGTTTTCAAGTCGGTGTATGTGTGTTGTTGTTGACGGTCTCTGTAGTATTCTGGTGGATTGTGGAGGGCGTGGTGTTTCTACAACAAGCAATTTTACTATTTGAACAGGATAGTCAGTGTGTGCGATACATTACTTTCAGACGTGATAAACTCAATAAGAAAAGGCTTGATGACACTTAAAAGATCAGGGCTGAATACAAGCATTTGGGTGTTTGGTGAAAGGATTGTTTGTTTATTTCTGAATTTCGTGCAAAGCTACACGAGGACAACCTGCGCTAGCCGTCACAAGTTTAGCAGTGTAAAACTAGAGGGAAGACAGCTAATCATCACCACCCACCAACAACTCTTGCGTTACTCTTTTACAAACGAACAATGGGATTGACCGTAACATTATAATGCCCCACGGCTGAAATGGCGAGCATGTTTGGTGGGACAGGGATTCGGGCCATTGGTGAAAGGAATGGGACGCCCACTATAGGCCAAACCACAATGTTGCACCTTAAATGTTGTGTTATTTTCTTAGCTAATCGTTTGTGTGACACCTTATCAAGCGTTTTATGAAAATCTATGTGTACCAAGTGCGCACCATTTCTATCATCCTAATGAAATATAGTATCTTTGTAAAAAACGTTATCCTATAGTACGGGAAATTTTCTTTATAATTAATACGTTATTTTTTATTTTTTTTCATTACAATTATGTGCTTTTCTTTGACAGAGGTCGCGACCGTAGCGTTATAGTAAGTGGAAAATGGCAACTACCTTGTCAAGTAGCGTGGTAAATTCAGGTGGTTTTGTAAGTATTCCAATAAAGTTTTCAGAGAAAAGTAATTCTAAGAGTTATTTGTTTTGTAAAGACCACAGAGTGAGAGAAAGGCATGAATGTAAACCTCAGGATCGGACTTTGTTTGTTGCAAACGTTCCATCTTACTGTGATAAAGAATGTATGAAAAATATATTTCGTGATTGTGGAATTGTGGAACAAGTCTTATTCCATAAAAAACCCACGGCAGGACTACCTGCAGAAAATACATCAAACTTTTTTATAAATGAACAGCCTATCAAAGGTTATAAGGTAGCGTATATTGTTTTTAAGAAACCATCAGGATTAAGAAATGCTTTGAACTTAATGTTAAATATAAAGGCATCAGAATGTGAGCCTCAAATTCTTTCACCCCAGACTCATCTTTTACCAGTTGGTATCAAAAAGTGGTGTCAAGAATACAATGATAAGGTCCCAGACATAAAAGCTCTAAAAGAAGAAATTGATACTTATATGTCAGATTTTGATAAGATAGTAGAAGGAGAAAAAAACCAGGCAAAACAAATGGAAGGTGTACCAGATGAAGAAGGATGGATCACAGTTACAAAACATGGAAAGAAATCTGTTGCTCCAAGAACGGACACATATCAAAAGAAAGTGTTAGCCAAAGAGAAAAAGAAAAGATCTCAGAAAGAACTCTTGAACTTTTACACATTCCAGGTGAAACAATCCAAAATGGAACATCTGGCAGAACTTAGAAAGAAATTTGAAGAAGACAAGCAACGAATTGCATTGATGAAAGCTGCAAAAAGTTCAAGAAAATTTAAACCATATTAGAAGTAAAATTAGTTATTTTGTATGAATTCACAACTATGTAGTTTTTCCCAGAAAATAAATTCATTGTCAAATCTCTGTCAATTTTTATCCGAATTGTTCTCATAAACTTGATTGAATTCTATAAAACATCAAACTATTATATACAATTCTTCTTTACAATTTATGTATTATACAGCAAACCACAAGAATTAAATAATATAGTGGACCAATATAGTGGTATTTGTCTTGACATTTCTGTGATTGACCTTTGAAATAAATAGGAAAATATAGAATTTTGTCATAGAAAAACCAGTGAAAGCTTAATTCATTACAGTCTAATAACACAACAAGACACAATATGGTGCATACCCACCCTTGAGAAAAATAATTTTAAAAGCAATTTTCATTTTACAGGAAATCATCAGTTCCCTTCTTAAACTCTTGTAAAATACTGGTCTCCACTACTATTGACAATGAGTCGCATCATAAGTCAATAATCCTGTTGAAATATATATAATTTTCTCAAATAGAGCCTAACCTGTCTATTCCAACTCTTACTTTCACAGTACAACACAAAGAAATCAGGTGCATTTATCCTACTAATCACCTAGAAAATTTTGTAATCTTCAGTAAGAGATCTTAACCTATCAATGTAAGATAATGCTATCACCCCAGGAATTGTTCTTGTAGTCATTGCCCCAAGGCAGTATGTCTGCGGACTTACAATGCTAGAATCTGGGTTTTGATACCCATGATGGGGAGAGCACGTATAGCCCATTGTGTAGCTTTAAGCTTAATTCCAAACAAACTTGTAGTCATCCTCTTAACCATTTCTAATAAGTCAATGTCCTTTGTTAGAAAAGAATACCAGAACTATGCATAGGATTCCAAGTTAGGCCTAACATGTCAAGATAATTACCTCTTTTGACTTGAAATAATTATACCTATAAATACATCCTGGAAGCTTATTAAATTTGCAATGAGCAACAGAGCATTGCTTTAGTAACTTCTATACCATATGCAAAGATCCTTTTCTTCATTATGCTACTGATTTGGTTCCTGTTTAAATTAAACATGATCCAAATTATGATTATCTAAAAGCATTACCCAAGATGTTTACAGAAAAATTAAAAAATATTTTGCAGTTAAAGCCTTCTTGGTGAACTTGTATGTGATTGTACCATACCAGGAAGTAAGACTAGTAATATATATAACATCTTGTTAAAGATGAATTTCTGTTATAGAAAGGAAGTTGTTAATGTTTTATTTGCCTATACTAATTGATTATGCTGGTTTGAAAATTGTGTGATGTCATTACAAAATGTCTTGGACAAATATTTTGCAGATAATGAAGGCTAATTATAGTATGTGCCTTGATACAACAATGCCACTATCATGGTGCCTCTCTCTGCATGCTCAGAATGGATTAGTAGTGAACTCAATTGCAAAAATCCTTCACTACGAGAGTAATAATTATAGTAGAAGAACTACATTAAAACACTGAAGTCACAATTATCAGTGAAAATTTTGTCTTCAGCTGGACTATGGTTAATTGAATGTGCATGGGATTGGGCTGATTCCATATTGGGGAAGAAATGTTGACTACCATTTAAACTTTACCAAGTACATTCACATGACATTCGACAAGCATTTAGTAAAATGTACATTTCTGTCGTACACAAAACACCAGATTGTTACAAAAGTATTTGTACTCAAGATATGTCTGTGAATTGATTATTTCAGGTGATTCAGACTGTGGCAAGTTGGAATGCAATGTGATGTTCATATGAAGAATATAAATCCTTTACTCCATCATAGAGTTTGCGATTACATAACCCGTAAGATCTCTGAAATAAATTAGAGAATGAATTAGTTGTTCACTGGGTTTTTATAAGTGGAATGATTGTACATTTACTGGTTGGTAAATATTAGGGTTTTGAGGACAGCTTATTTGTTTACTAGATGGTAAATGTTAGGATGTTGAGAAGAGGTATAATATTTATTTCCTGGGTGTTAATAAGAGGAGTAATAATTTGTTTACTGGGGCTAAAATTTAGAGTGTCCATAAAAAAACATTATTTGTTTACAAGGTGCTAAAGTTTAGTGTGTTATGAAGAGGATAGATAATTTGTTTATTAGCGGCTAAAGCTATGGATGGTGGAACTAGGGGACACATACCCACCAATTTAATGACAGAGAGAGAGTTTTTTTCATGTGAAAAGTAAATACTCCTAAACTAAACAAATAGTTTGAAGTTGGGAAGAACTGTTCAATGATTCCATTCTTATATGTTAAAGCAGTTTTAGAAAGGCTTTGGAAAACTTGTTACATTGCAGGTGAAATGAAGAAACAACAACTGTCTTAAATACTCTTCCACAGAGCTTATATCTTTATTCTACCATATTTATGTTGATTATACTTTATTTTGAAACAGAAATGCAAATCCAGTCATTTTTAAGTTAATTAAATAGTCATTACTCAAGTATTGAGCTCTTATTTTAAGACCAAAAATGTATCAGTTTATCCCCTTTTTTATTTGAACATCCAAATTTGAGATCTATACTTGACTCTCTTTTTTTTTCTTTTTTTGCTTGTTACAGAGTCACTTCTTCTGGTCTTTTAAATGTCATTTTAGTAGTTTTATATTGTTTACTTGAAAGGTTTAACCCTTTCATAACTTGGAAAATGAATGTGCCTTTACTCAGATAAAAAATTCTCAAAATGTTATTACAGATTGTTTGCTCTTTTGACAATATTCTATGCTCATTTATAAATTACCCCAATCTCACCCCTTAGACTTTCACATGTCATAAACTCGTTTGCCAGGGCATATCCTATAACTAAAACATATCAAAATGGTGAGACCTTCTGGGAAGTATTGACAGAACTTGAACATGGGCCCAGGTAAAACTAGAACTACAGCTAGAATTGACCTGATCTTTTTATACTAATTATACTCAATATATATAGAGAAACTAGCCATGATAATAAATTATAAACTATTTTAGTTTAGAAAGAATCACCACCAATTCTTTGTTGTTTGAATTGTAATAAAGGTTTTTTTTTTTTTCAAAGTCAGAAACTGTGTTTAGTCCCCATTTCTTGTTCAAGTTTGAAATATTTACAAACTATAGACATTTTTTTAGGGAATCATTAATTTCACAGAATTTGATATTTACCTAATGCTTATCCTTCCATAATTCCTTGAGCTTGCAGACTATGAGATATCTGGACATTCTAGAATCATTGGAGCATTGTATACAAAAACTTGAGATGGTCACAATCCAATATTGCTAAACCCTTAGCATTAGTCAGAAACCAGAAGGTGGCTTGAGATGAACCTGGAGGAGAAAGTTTGCCAGGATAAGCTACCACTAGATAACATCTCACTAGGAGTCTGAAAATCCTTTTCAAAGCCCAAGATCTTCTAGGCTGAGAAAATTGGCTGTCAAAGTAGCTAGGGGCGTTTCCTGCATATTTTTAGGAAGAAAATTGTGTTCATGTGAATGTTGGCACTCCCAGATACAATGCAAAACATTAAAATTTGCCATTCTTATTGCACATTTCTGTATAGCAAAAAGCAAACTGATGTTTGTATTGATCATCCATTATGCTGCACAGTCTTAGGATGTTTAAAAATTGATCAACATGTTCAGGATCATTAAAGATGACAAAAGTATAATCAACTTGCCTTTGACAATGTGTGGGCTTGGAACTCAAATAAATAACAATGTTTCAACCACTGTTTTTCATAATAGCAAAGGAACAAGTTGATGTGTGATTGTGCTGAACTTCATCCCATTGGTACTTGATCATTTTAATTATATACAATATGAGAACCTAAGAATTTTGTTTTATTAAATAAAAATGGCAAGGTTGAAAATGAATCCAGAAAAGTGTATTTGTATAATCATACTTAGGTTTCTCAATCGCATTGTAGGAGTGTTCACTTTTCTTATGAAAACTGCAGTGTTAAGGATTAGCCTGTGCCTGAAAGAAAGGTCTGCAACTTCATAGGCATTGTATTATATTATTTGTGTTTTATGGTAAACTTCTAATTGATAACATTACCATTATCAAATTTAACTAAGGTTGGCACACAATTCAGAAAGAATGAAGACATGATCAAATATTTCATGTGCAGGATGGTATGGAACATCTTATTGTGCACAATTTTTAGAAGTTGGCAACTCCTGAGTGCTCAGCCATTATTGTATAACAAAGAATAAGCTGCTTATAGTGTCATTTTATGTTGAACACTACTGCAACTATATGTACAATATGGGTTTAAAATTTTTTGTGAAACTTGCTTCACTAAGTAGTTTACAAATGTAAACAACAAAAGAAAAGTTGGGATTGCACATTGAATTACAACATTCCTGTTGTACAATTTTATTGTACATCATCAACTAGGGCAGCAACATAGTAATACACTAACACCAGATGAAGAGAGATTGTCCATTCACTGAATGTCTAGATCCTGTACTCTTTGCTCCTACAAAATGGTGACAAACCATATAGGCTGAAATGGTTTTACTAGTGAATAGATTCCACAAATGATTATTGAAAGAGCCAGATCTTACCTGAATGCTAACTGCCATGCAACAAGATGAAAATTTTAGAGATAAGTGGGTACAATGGCTTTCTCAGCAGTTATGAATGTAATAACTATGAATTACATAAATGTAATGTGGGATCTAAGATACAGCTAGTAATCCCAAGATATTCAATGCAGGACATACTTCAGACATTGCATGATCCAAGGACACAAGAACTACTGCCAAACGTAAACATCAAAACTTGAAAGGTACACACCATCAGAAAGCTGTAGTTTCTCCTTTTAAGAAAATAACTTCAAATAAAACTGGCCCTCTCCCAGATACAGGTAATGTTAATTCTAATTATCAATTACTTTTTTTGTATAGGTTAAAGCTTATCCATTTGCTGACTGTTTAGTTCATGCGATCATTGGTAAGTTCACTGAATAGTAATAGCATGATCTGGAGTACATGGACCATGTAACGAGTTTCCAAAGCCAGCTTGTTATACTGTGCATTAGGTGTAGGAAAGGCTGGCATTTTATCATCTTCTCTGTCTGAAGGCTTGGTTTGTTT